TTCAGGCATTATGTCAGACGTCCTGTCTGTGCCTGTAGGTTAGGTAGATGTTTTTGGATAGTTTCACAAGCTAAACTCCCCATAATCTGACCCATACCTGCTTGCTGAGACTTTTTGTTTTATTTATTTATTTATTTATTTTTTTAGGCTCCATGATAGAGACTTTTTATCAAAGTATAACACATATACAGAAAAATGTACAAACCACTAGTGTACAGGTAAATGAATTTTCACAAAATGTCAAGTAACCAGCACCCAGATTAAGAAACAGAATGGCAGCAGCATCCACGGAGCCCCTTCATGTCCTTTTCCAGTCACTCCTCCCAGCTCCTGCCCTGTTTTTGCCATGTTCATCACAGTGCCCACCCCACAGCCGCAGCGCACCATTCTCTCTCGCCCTCCTGCCTGTGCGCATGCTGTTTCTGTGGGCTGCCCGGCCTCGCCTACTCAGTTGTTCAAAACTCAGGTCTCAGCTTCCCCTGATGGGCTAGGTCTACTTCCTTTATACTTTTCTTCTGTATCTTGTAATTGTTTACTGGGAGCTCCCTGAGGACAGAGTCTGAATCACCAGTCTCCCTGGCACCCAGCACCTGCTTGGCTTAGAGCAAACTTCAGAAATGCTTGCCTATTAATAGCACAGTTTGTCTAAAATATTTGAAGTCACCTTTCATTTCCTTTATCTTCCTGGACCCTTCCCCAAGCACATATTATTCCTCCTCTGCCTTCCTAACCCATTCCTCTTGCCCCTTCTAGCTTTTTTCAAAACGTTAGCCTCTTCCGAGTCTCTTGTGTGCTTCCGTACTCCCCCTCACTTTTGCTCAGGCTGTGCGTGTGTGCCATCCACACCTGTCCTACATCCCACAGCCAGACTCCCACGCGCCAGCCCGATGAGTGTTGCAGCACTGTGTTTTTGCCCCCAGACTTCGGGCCGCAGCCATCCAATGGCTTCTTCCACAGAGAGCATTCTCTGTGCCCAGCCCCCTGCCCCAGCCCTCAACTGCTATTCTGCAGGCTCTGATTTATTCAAGAGCCAGGTTTATTTTGTCCTTTGCCTATGTTTCGTTACCCTGTGTTTTACACTTCATGAGTTTTTCTTCCTCAAGAACATTGTTTTTTTTAATTTTTATTTTATTGTTAATTTTTTTAGTTGTCTGGCTAATTTCTTTTTATTTTTAGTAGAGATGGGGTCTTGCTCTTGCTCAGACTGATCTCAAACTCCTGACCTCAAGTGATTTTCCCGCCTCAGCCTCCCAGAGTGCTAGGATTACAGGTGTGAGCCACGACGGCTGGAGTTCAGTGGTGCCATCATAGCTCACTGCAGCCTCGAACTCCTGGGCTTAAGTGATCTTTCCACCTCCTTCTCTTGAATAGCTGGGACTACAGGCGTGGGCCACCATGCCTGGCTACTTTATTTTAGTTTTTCAGAGACAGGAGCCTTGCTATGTTGCTCAGGCTAATCTCAAGAACTGGCCTCAAGTGATTCTGCTGCCTCAGCCTCCCAAAGTACTGGGATTACAGGCATGAGCCACTGTGCCTGGCAACATGCTTGCATTTTTAAAAAGGGTTTCATATGTATCACTGAACGATTTTTATTCATTCATCCATCCATCCATCACACGTGCCAGGCACTATGGTAGGTGCTGGAGAGTCAAAGTTAAGAGAGCTTTATTGCCCTTGAGAAACTCACAAAACAAATAAGGAGAGAGAGAGACAAACATTAGCAAATTATTATAAGATAGCATCAGTACTGAATGAGATAAGGCCTGTTAATACAGGCATTAAGAAAATGGGCACTGGAGCCAGCTATGTGGTTTTTGTTACATTACTTAAGATTTCTGTTTCGGTGCCTTGCTGTCTTCAACTGTAAAATGGGTAGAATGTGTGGTTTTTTTTTTTTTCCTCCTCTAAGCTGTTAGAAGAAAATAAACAGAAAAATAGAGCTTTTACAAGATTGTGATGTTTCTTTAGGGCCTTTCTGAGTCAGGCACTTCTGTCTCTAAAAAAGAAATTTAAAAACAAAAAGTTCTTTTTAGTTCTTTCCCTGTCTTAGCCCATTTCCCAGAGATGCAGAGGATATAGTATAATGCCTGGCACCTAGACAGTGATGGAGAAATGTTAGCTATGATCACTGTTGTTACCACCTCTACTTGGGCTCATGGAGAAAGTGACCTTTCAGCTGGCCATTGAAGCAGGGCAGGGAAAAGTGGCCTCGGCAGAAAGAGGATCCTGAGAACAGACAAAGAGGAGTGAGAGGGCATGACGTTTGCAGACACTGGGAGTGGCCCAGTGTAGCTGGAGGACAGGGTATGTGCGGAAGAGTGGTGAGAGGCAAAGTTGGAGAAACAAGACCCAGAGGGTGAAGGGTCTTGTTTACTGTTCGAGTTTGGACTTAACCCAGTAGATGAAATGGAACCATCAGCAGTCTTTAAAGATGGGCTTGTCACAGTCTCCACTGTGTTTTAGAAGGATCCCTTGGTGCTTCTGTGGAGGATGGATCAGATGGGAGGGTACTGGGGAGACTTTTAAGGAGGAGAAGAAGCTGCTAAAAACTCCTGGTGAGAGATGACGCGCGAGAACTGGAGCGACGAATGCTCCAGAGGGGGATCAGCAGGGCTCGGTGGAAGGGAGGAACATGGGAGCCAGAGGGGTCAAGGACAGCCACGGTACTCAGCTGGATGTCAATGCCACTTACTGACAGAATAGCAGGAGGAACCAATTTTTCCTTCCTAAAGATTTCACCCAAGGAAGGAAGACTGCTTCTTCTTGATCCTAGGAGCAAGTATTCTAAAACTCACAAGTCCATTCTACTAGGCTAGGAGCCTCTTCTTCTCTCTTGGGTCTTATAAACAGTCAGCCATTCCAGACAAGCAATTATTGATCTCAGGCAATTAGGGCAGGAGATGGCTGTGTTTATCCCTGGTGTCCCCTAGGGGAGAGAGAAGTAAAAGTCATGTGTTTGTTTTTACCACATTTGTAAGAATGGATGGAGTCGGAGCATTAGCCTCCCTCCTCCTTTCTCCCACTCCCAAATCTGTAGAGGACCATGTTAAATTAAAAAGTTCTTTTCAAGCCAGGCGTGGTGGCACACACCTGTAGTGTCAGCTACTTGGGAGACTGAGGTGGGAGGATTGCTTGAGCCCAGGAGGTCGAGGCTGCAGTGAGCTCTGATCACATCACTGTACTCCAGCCTGGGTGATAGAGTGAGACCCTGTCTCTAAAAAAAATTTTTTTTTAAGTTCTTTTCAGTTCTTTCCCTGTCTTAGCCAGTTTCCCACAAAAATGTCATTTGGATTTTTAGCTGAGTCAGGGAATCAATCCTGAGCCCAGCCCAGCTGTTGGGCTCCAGAACAGCACCTTTCCCACTACTGCCATCTCCATCTCAGAGTGGCCTGGTTCTGGTTCTAGCATCTGGGGCCCAGCAGGTGTGTGGGGGCCTCCGCTGGTGTCATGGCTTAGCTGGGCGTGGTCCTGTCCCTGCTCAGTCATATTTCTGAGTATCCTGGATACAGGACCTCATACCTGGCACTACATGGCGAGACACATCCCCCCCCATAGAATTCTGTCCTTTGTCTTTTACTTCCAGCTTCCTCCTTTCTCTGCCTTCCTTCCACTTTCTGTCAGCCAGGATTGTTGTAGCTGGTGAGTTTCCTTGATTTGAAGGATGGAGCACACAAGGTTCTTCTTTCTCCATTCCCTCTTCTAGGAAGTTGTCCCATTCCTAACCCTCTCTCTTCCAAGGTGGCTATTAGATGTTTCAAGTATACAGACCATGTTAGTGGGCAAAAGATCCTATGGGTTGTTTCCTCCTGTTTGTCTCTGGAGCTAGGTTGAGAGAAGGGTAAAACTCCTCAGACTGAATGGAGTGACTAGTTCCTGCTTTTATGAGACACCATTGAGAGAGAGGGGATGTCTGTTATTTTCAGTAAACGGTTGACCCCACACTAATGAGAGTGACCATAGGTATTGTCATTTTATGAAACATTATCATTATAAGACACCTGTGGGGCTTTATATAATACGTTGGACCATCAATTGTACCCTGCTGATTTCTGGGCCACTTAGAAATCCCTGTTTTAAACTCGGGCTCTCTAGCTTTAGTTTTAGGACACCCTGTTGTCTTAAACCATCAGAAAGGGAATAGCTTGTTTTTTTTTCTTTTTAAGAAATCCTTTTTTTTCCTAATGACAAAAACAAAGCGTGTTCATTTTAGAAAATTTAGAAAATATAGAGAAGCAAAAATGAAAAGTCATGCATAATCCCACTACCCAGAGATAACTATCACTGTGAACTTTGTGGCCTAGGCTTTTAGGCTTTTAAAAAATGTTTCTACATGTTTTTTAAAAAGATTATAATATATATCTCTTTTATAACCTTCACTTAGTAGATTATTATAAACATCTTTCCATGTCATTGCAAATTCTTTTATAGCATCATGTTTAATGATTCCACAGTAGTCCATTTTATGAGGGAAATTGGGACATTATTAGTAAACTTAACATACTTTAGTCTGAAAAAATAATAAACACATGACCTGAAGATTACACGTAAGGAAGGGGTGTCGTAAAGAGTGATGGGTGTTGCAACATTCACAGGGATAGGTTTCACAGCTCTGAATAGCATAAGCAATAATTGTAGGCTTAATAAATTGGTACATTAAATAGGACATGGATGTTAATAGATTTGATCCTTCTATACTGGAGGGATCAAGTCTATTAACATCCCTGGGCTGGAGTTTTGTAAAATCTTTCTGGGTCTGAAAATTTGACAAGGGATATGCCTGTAGTATCTCAGGTTACTAAAGGTAGATGGTTTTTGACTTTCTTGGTTTCATCGGAAATCAAGCCAAAAAGCTCTCACTCTGTGTGAATTTGCACAGCACCTTGTGTACCAGGTGGTGATTATTTGAGCAGTTATGGAAAATTTCGTGTTGATAGGGACTCGCTGAGTCTAATCCTGATTGATGAGGATGCATTATTCCATACATTTATTTCTTTTCACAGGCAGTGCTTTCCTCAGTGCTATTTTTCTTGCCTTGGCTACCTACCAGTCTCTGTACCCTCTCACCTTGTTTGTCCCAGGACTCCTCTATCTCCTCCAGGTAAGCACTTGCTGGTCAGAAGCCAGCCCCCAAATGACATTTATCACATGGGCTGGTCCCTGCTGGGGGGAAGAAAGGGCTTGGGTCAATAAAGGCAATGGGACTACTTGCTTCTACTTGAAAACACAAACACAAAGAAACTTGACTAACTTTAAACAAAGTGGACCTAATGATCGTTAAGTTCTAATGACAGTAGTGCTCCACCCCATATCTGCAGGGGATATGTTCTAAGACCCCTACTGGATGCCTGAAACCTTATATAGTCCCAGACCCTATGTATACTATGTTTTTTCCATCTGGTAACTGAGACAACCAAGTGACTAACGGGTGGGGATATGCTGGCTAAAGGGGTGATTCACGTCCCAGGTGGGACAGAGCGGGATAGAATGAGATATCATCACGTTACTCACAATGGCATGCATTTAAAATTTATGAATTGCTTATTTTTGGAATTTTTCATTTGATATTTCAGATGATGGCTGACAGTGGGTAACTGAAACAGTGGAAAGTGAAACCTTGGATAAGGGGGAAACTAGCTTATGATGTGCATATCATTGCAAATATATAAGTGCATTTTACTTTATATATTTGTATTTAGGATCTACCAAGCATCTTGCATTTTTCTTTTTTCATCTAATATATATAGACCCCTCTAAGCTCATTTCTTTAATTTTTCTTTATAATAACATTCCTCGTGTAAGACCCTGATAGGACTTAAATGTAGGGGATGTACCTGATGCAGTGCTTGGAACATAGTGGGTGATCAATAAAAATTAAAAAATACAAATTACTGACTTTTACTGAGAATATACTACATGTCAGGCACTATGCTAAGTACTCTATAGGCATCATCTCATTTCAACCCCATAACTTTCTGGTCTGAAGTAGGTCATTAGCCATATATTAGTCTAGTATTAGCCATATTAGACACATGAATTGAAACTGGAATGTTTGGAGGTTAAGTCACTTAAGGTCACATGACCAGCAAATGACAGTGCTGAGGTATAACTCAGGCAATCTATATGTTCACAATGGCAGGTTCATTAAAAACAAATATAAAACAAAACAAAACTTAGGCAGTCTGATGCCAGAGCCTGCTCTCTAACCATCTCTTTTCTGCTAAAATAAGAACAGTACACGTTTCTTCAAGAGCAAGTAACTACTTGCAGGCCCCACATGGTCCAAATCCATTCTTACAAGTGTTTCTTGAAAGTGTACAGGTAGCAGTGCCAGGATTCAAACTCAGAAATGTCTAATTTCAGATTCCTTCTTAATCACGAACACTGCTGCTAAAGCTGAGTGAATACCTCTATTTATTTTATTGTTTTATTTAAAAAATTTTTTTCCTCCCACCTCCTATATTTATTGAAATAGGACCACGTACTTGTCATTTTAAGTGACTTCATAATGCATCATTGTGTTGATGTGTACAATGATACATGGTTAGCTTGGTCTTTCTCTTATTTGGGGAATTTGAGATGTGTCTTAGTTGTCATTAATATGAATAGTATTTCCTTAAGGTATGTTCCTTCACCTGAATCACTGGACCCAAGGGTGTAAAGGTTCTGTAGTTCTTATTATGCAGTTATACCAGATTGTTTACCAAAAAGCCTAAGCCAATTCACAGTGCCACCATCAGTATCTAAAGAGAAGTGAACCACTTACCTCCCAGTCTACCAGCACTGGCTTTTCAAGTTTGATTATGATTCCTAGTTCAATAGTTGTGTCAACATACTGTGAAGTTCTTTTGTTTTGATTTTCATTTTGTATTCTTGTTGAATCCAAGCATTTTTCCACATAACAATGTGCTATTTGTATGTTCTTTCTTACTTCATATTTATGGTGTATTCTTTAGAAAGTCTAAGCACTAAAGAAAATGCACGCAACCAGAATTTTTGTCAACTGTTTATCAAATAATATAGAAAAAATATATTTACTCACACACTGAACTGACTAAAAGTTTTAAAATGGTTAGGTCAATTTATAAGTAGCACTTTATATAAAACAACTTTTGTTTAAAACTCAAGGAGATTTCCTCCTGACAGTAGTGGACAATACAGCTGACTCATGGAATCAAGTAGCTCCTCTGCCAATATTTACTGAGCATCTACAGTGTGTTAGACACTACGCTAGACTCTGCAGAGGTAAAGCAATCGAGATTGCCGAGTGAGTCCACCAGGAAGGCTGTACTGGCAGCAGCCTGTGGGGTGGATGGGAGTAGGAGGAGCCGAAGTTGGGAAAACTTACACCGTTGTACCAGATCAAGTCAGAGACATTGACTGGGGGCCCAAACCAGTGCCAGCGAGAGATGAGGAACTAGATGCAGTGGAATTCCAGGAGAGAGAATTGACTGTGCTTGGCGACTGTCTGTATGTGGGGAACAGGAGTGGGAGGAGTCTGAGATGAACTTCAGGATCCCATTTATGTAGAAATTAAAATCCCAGACCATACTACATGTGTTTTTATGTAAGTGTTATATACAAAGTGGCCTGAAAGGCAGTAGGGCCTTCTGAGTCAAGGTAGGCTATTAGGAAAATCAGTCCATTCACATCCATGAAACAAAACCCACTTGTTTAAATACGAAGGAGGGAACAGACGAGGAAATTATTCTTTAGGGCTGAGTTCCTACCAGACCACTAAGTGGACCCTTAGGCTTGAGTTTCACGGAAATCCATAGGTTCCAAGGAAAGAAGCTGGAACTTCTAGATGGGAGGTATGAGAAGCAGTCCTATGACAGAGTGGGATATCCCAAGTGAGGTGAGTTTCCTGTGAACCATGGGGTTTAGGCCAGAAGCTGAATGGCACTTTCTGGGGAGTCCTAGCAAAGCTGTAAGCATCAGCACGGTGGCTGTACTTATGGTCTTAAATATATTTTCTACTTCCGAATCAAAATGGATTTGATAAACACAAGGGAGTAACACATCTGCTTTTTTTTTTTTTTTTTTT